TCTACCCTGAGCCCGGAATGAGTTGTGGGAGGCCAGCAAATAAAGCGCTGTGAAAACAAAACAAACTTTATAAGTTCTTTTGGATCAAGAGAACAAGGAAGAAAGAGGCCCTGTGCTTGGGGGAAGAAGCCAAGAACACACGATGGAAAATAAGCAGAAGGAACTGGCAGTGTTTAATCTAGAGCAGGGAAGAGCCGGGGGCAAGGCTGGCCCCCCATGGCCTGAAGGCCTGCAGTGATGAACGGGACAGATCTGTTCTCTGGGGCCACGGGGAAAGCGAGGCTTATCCAGACACAGGGATGCAGATATGGCTCTTTCAAAAAAGAGGAACCTGGGGGCCGCCCTGGTGGCGCAAGGGGTTAGGTCTCAGCACTATGAAGCTATCCGCAGCCTCTGCAGCCTGAATTTGATCCCCACCCAGGGAGGTGACCCACAGGGTGCAGCAGACCTCTCCTGTCTCCCCGCTGCTCCCCTCGGCAGTGGATTTCAGTAGATCCTCTTGTTCTGCTCCCCACTCTGCCTCTGCTGGGTCCTCTCACCACCACCCCCAAAACACACACACCTCTGGCCTGTACCCCAGCACTTGTACACATAAATTTTTTTTTTAAAGAGGAACCTTTTAAGGAAAACTTTGCTCGATTGTCAGTCATCTGAATATTATCTTCATGCTTTCTTTTGTCGCATTTGTGAGAAGCAGGGTAACCTGTGATTAAGATCACACTCTCGGGAACCGAACCTGTTTGGGTTCACTTTCCAGTTGTCACCTCCAAGGTCTCATGCTTGGGGCAGTCACTTAGCTCCCCTGTTCTCTCAGTTACCTGTTTTGGATACTACTGATCCCACGTGGTTGGGGTGATGGGGAATTAAATTAGGCATGTCCAGGGCCTAGTGTCACTCCTGCACCCAGAAGTCCTCAGCCTGGGACAGTGACTTCTATTTTTCGACTGCCTTCTCATACCACCCCTGTCATTATTTATGGAGTATGTTTTACTGCAGACCTAGTATTTAAATACATTGAATTTAAAAAGGAACCTTGTTTGACTGCTTTAAATGCCACCTGCCATGTATAGGTGGGAGCTGGAAAAATAAACATCAAACATAACCCGCGTGATTACATTTCAGCCAGCCACGGCCGCCTGAATTTGAGGACGCTTGTCTTCTCGCAAAAAGGGAGAGGCTGAGTGGCACTGGGCGGGCTGGCCCTCACCAGGACGGCTTCTGTCCCGGACGTCAGGAGGAAGAGTCCTGCAAGCTCAAGGAAGTGAAAGGCCAGGGCGGCTGGGCTCCCCCTCAGGGGTAAGAGAGCGGCAGCGCTGGAGGGGGCAGGGCAGGGCAGTGAGGAGGCCGCCTCTGCTGGAGCCCTAACTCTGCGGGCCAGACCATGCCCACGGCCCCCTGCAGAAAGCAAAGGCAGCCACACTCAGTGCCACCTGTGCTCACCAGCGCCCCCTGCAGGACACCAGGTCGGCAGGCTCCAGGCTGTGGGGTGTCAAGGGCGAACAGGAGCAGAAAAGGGGGAGACTCAGTAGCAACCCGCACCAGTGAGGACGAACCTCAGCTTCCCCGCCTCTTGGCGGGACACTTCTGAGTCTGCCCCACGTCCTCTCTCCAACAGTGTCCGCAGGGACTCAGCCTGGTGGCCCACTGGCACCGGTGACCGAGTGAGCAGCTCACCCTTGCTGGCTGGCCTCCCTGCCCGGCCCGGCCCGGCCCACTTCGTACTCACTGCACCTGCTGGGAATAAGCCCCTGGCACCCAGAGCCTTGTCTCAGAATCTGGTTTTGGGGAAACCCCATCGACGGCACAGTTTAGATCTTTGACAACGGAATGAGTTGCCAGGTGAGGCAGTCCCGTTTTGCTGGGGCATCAAGAAATGGGGGTCTCCCTAGTGGCACAGGGGTTAAGTCTAAGCGCTATCAAGCTGTCACCAGCCACCGGGGATTGGGTTCAATCCCCGGCCAGGGAGCTACCCACATGGTGCGGCAGACCTCTCCTGTCTCCCCGCTGCCCCCCTCAGCAGAGGATTTGAGCAGGGTGCTCCCCACTCTGTCTCTGGCGAATCCTCTCACCCCTGCATCTCTGGCCTGCACTCCAGTTCTTGTGTGCAAAAATAAATTAAAAAATATCTTTTTTTAAAAAACAGAAAGAAATGGTTGAGAATGTTCAGTGGTGATTCCTGGGCCAGGGAGGGATTCAACTCGATGGACATTCAGGATCTTGCCCCCGGGGTCCCCTGATTCTGGAGGAGAGTCTGCAGCTACCGCCCAGTCCCTGGGCCTCAGCCCACCCACTGGCCGGCCCACCCACTGGCGGCCTGTGAGCCAAGAAACGTTTTCACATTTTTTAAGTGGTTGGGAAAAAATCAAAAGGAGAGTAACATTTTGTGACCCATAAAAATGATGCACGATCCAAATCTCAGCATCCCCGAGTCGAGTTTTATGGGCACAGAGCTGTGCTCGGCGTTCTCATCCCATCCAGGGCGGCTCATTGTCCACAAGGACAAGGCTGAGTCGTGGCCACTGAGGCCATATGGCCCACAGAGCTCAAAGTACTTGCCACGTGGCTCTTTCCAGAAAAGTTTGCTGAGGTCCTATTCAAGATCATTAGCATAGAGGGACGAGAGGCAGGTTTCCAGCTGTGGATGGGGATGCCCAGCCCAGGAGCTGGTATACAGGAGATGGCTGGGGCTAGACCTTCTCCATTTCTTTCTTTGTTCTTCTTCTTCTTTTTTAAAGATTTACTTTTATGCATACAAGATCTGGGGCGCAGGCCAGAGATGCAGGGGGTGAGAGGACTCACCAGAGACAGAGTGGGGAGCAGAACAGGCAGATCGACTGAAATCCACTGCTGAGGGGAGCAGCAGGGAGACAGGAGAGGTCTGTTGCGCCATGTGGGTAGCTCCCTGGCCAGGGATTGAACTCGTGCTGCAGAGGCTGCGGACAGCTTGATAGCACTGAGACTTAACCCCTTGCGCCACCAGAGAGGCCCCTCTCACTGTCTTTTTCTACAAGTCTGTGACCTTCTGCCCTCTACAGGTATCCAGGACTCTTTTACTTCAGGCACCCATGTTTTTATTCCAGGAATACTTTTGCTTTTAAAAAAGAAAAGAGAACTCCTTCATGTGTGGCCCACTGTTCCAGGAGCTTTCATCCGCAATTGATGGTTTCTGCAGCCAACTGCAGAAACTGATTGCTCCCTAAACCAAACCAAAGCAAACCTCCAGCCCAGGACCAGGTCCTGCAGTCTGATCAATAACCAAATATCTGCTCAGCATTCAATTAAGGGGGCAGCGTGCTGCTTACCGGCAGAGTATCTGTGGGTGAATGACTTAATGGCATGGGCATCAATTTTATCATCTGCCATAGGCGGGACCCATCCAGCCCGCCTGCCAGGATTACGCTGCCGATCAGATGTAAGGACAGCAGCTTCCGAAGCACAGGCCACCTGGCCCTGCCGCTCTCTCCACTGCACCTCTTTTCCCTCTGACCACCACACTCCCTGCACCCCGGCTCTCCTGGAGTTCCCAGACCTTGCCAAGCCCTTGGTCACCTCCGGGCCTTTGCACATGCTACCTTTGCTACCTAAAACACTTTTTCCTCATCCCAACCCCTGCCCGGTTGCTTCTCCACCTTCCTGAGCTCCCAATGCAAGGCCCCTTCTTTGCATTTGATTTTTTTCATTGCATGGACAGTAAAGTCAAACTACAGTCAACTCTCATTGCTCCTGGCAGTTATGTTCTACAATGTTGCCATGAACACAGAATTAGCATATGAAGAGCCATTCCTCTTAGAGGAAACACGGGGTCAGTTCCCTGTGAGCCACACGCTACAATGTTGTCATCAATGTACCAAATCCTAATCTTGCTTTATGTGTGTTTCACTTTAAAGACACCTTTAAGATGCACTGTTGATTCACAAGGAATTCCCAGCTGACACCATGACCACACACGCCTCAACAAAGTTCATCTGACATGCATTCTCCCTGCAGGCCCTGTGCAACCTCGTGCTCAGCATCAGACAGCACCGCAGCACCCCGCTTGGGGGTCATTCTGAACAGAGAGATCACAGACAAAAAGCACACAACTGTGAACAATGTGGCACTAGTGAGGCCACAGAAAGGACGCTTGAGTCTGAGGTTGGCGACAGGAAAGCAGAGGTCCTCTCGCGTGAGGTCAGCTGGTAACGTGCGCTGGGTGACTCTTGAGTTTTGCCAAGATGCACATGCCCACAAATGACCACGAAAGTGCGGTGGATGCTAATTTTGGGGTTACGAATAAGCATTCAGGAGCAGGAGAATTCACAACCACACAGTCTGCCAACAACGAGCATCCTCTGCTTTCTTCTTGGGTTTCACATACATTGGAAAGTGCGGTCCCCAAGGGCTGCTTGCTCTGTCCACTGACTGCCTCCAGCATCTGGAACACTGCTGGGCACATAGTAGGCCCTCGATGATAAATACATTTGGAGTGAACACATGAGTCAACTCAGAGAAAAGTGCTGTGTTGGCAGCAATGGGAGCAAATGTGCCCGTGGAAGACCTGCGGTCCTACTCTGTGCTGAGTGTGCGCTTTCTGCGCTTGCTAGGTCAACAGGGAAAACAGCGGAAGGTTGAACTTTTGCATCTGGCTCTGGAGTCAGCGCTCTGGAGCCTGGATTCAAAGAAGGAAGCTGCCTTTTGTTATCTACAAAACCCTGAGTAAGTTCCTTGGGCTTTGGAGCCCTGGTGGCCTCGGCTGTCACATGAGGTGACGACGACCTTTTGGGTTGCTTTAGGGGTCACGGGGCAACGCACAGACACGTAACTCAGCACAGCCCTCGGCACACCCACACTCTCCATAAACATCCCCTTTCACTGTTAACAATTCCCAGGGCTACACCGAGTGCTTTATAGGATCACACCCATTTTACAGACGCGGAAACCGAGGGCAGGGCGGGTCAGTGAGGGCTCGGGGATGGCAGCAGCGAGGAAGGGCTGGCTCCGGGGCCTGCGAGCCCTGGCTGGCCACCGCTTTGCTGGCGCGCACCCCAACGCCGCTGGGGCGTTGAATAAGTTATTCTGGTTCTTACTCTGCTCAGCAACATTTACCAAAATGATGAGGCCCTTCCAGCTGGGCCCCTGAACTTCTGCCAGATAAAGGTAGGGAACCCAGGCCCCACACCCCCAGGCCGGACACCCCACGGGCCTGCTCTCAGATTCCACACCAGCGTCTTTCTGTTCCCCGTTCCCTCTTCAGTGCAGCCCTTTCCGAGCAGGCCCTGCAAGGGAGGTGGGGTGGGGTGGGGGGGTGGGGTGGGGGGTGTTGATCTCGGTTGACAACCCAGAGGAGGAGAGGTTTCCTGCTCAAAGGCGCGCAGAGGGAAGCAGAAGGAAGAATAATGAAGAGGTGGGCGAGGAGATGAGGAGAAGGAAATCGGCATTCGGGGCGGCAGCAGCCGCCCTTGGGCTTGGCGCCGTCCTCGGGAGGAGGGTCCCCCAACTTGGCTGCCAGTTGGGCTCTCCAGGGACGCCGGGCGCCCGCGCCCCACCCGGCCCCCTCCAGCCGAGCCCCCGGGGGCTGGGGCCGCGCCGGCCTTGGCGAAGCCTCCCGGGGGCAGCCAAGTTGGAGGGATGGAGCCGGGTCGGCCCGTCCCCGGCGCCGGCGCCCGAGGGCTCCGGACGCGGCCACGGCTCTCCCCCCGCTCGCGCGCGCAGACCTGGGGGTGCGCCCCGCGCCCCCAGCGCCCCAGGCCCGGCGCGCGGACTGCGGGTCCCGGGGTGCCCAGGGCGCCCGCACGTGCAGCCGCCCCGACTCCTGGGCCGTGTCGCAGCCCGCGCGCGTCCGCAGCCCGCAGTCGGCGGCCCGTGGCGACCCCGGCAGCCCCGGGGGCGCGGGGAGGCGCCGGGCGGGGTCCTACCTCGGCGCGGCGCTGCCCTCCTCGGCGATCCCGGGCTCAGGTCGGCCGCGGCCGCCGCGCCGGCCCAGGCGCCCCGGGGCGCAGGCGCCACCTCGCGGGCAGCGCGGCCGGGAGCGGAGCGCGGCCCACGTGGGCGCCCCAGCCCCAGCCCCGCGGCCCGGCGCGTCCAGCGGGGCCCCCCGCCCCCCCGCCCGGGGACCCGAGCTCGGGGACGTGCCCTTGGGGCGCGAGGCGCCGCCCCGCCCGGGCCTGACCTGGGCTCCGCGCTGGCATTTTCGTGTCTGGCTTCACCGATTTTTCCTCCTGCCCAGCTGCTGCCAGCGCGCCCCAATGTGGCATCGCTTCTCGGTTAATACGCGGGCGCCCGGGGAGCCGAGGGGACGGGGTGCCCTCAAGCCCAGGGGCCGCTGTCCCGACCAGCAACCTCCTCCCTCCGGGCCCCTCCTTGGCCTCTGCCCTGCCCCTGGGGTCTGAGTCTACTGCAGTCTGGGGCACCCTGCGCCCTGCGGAGAGCCGGGGACACCCGCAGGCCCCCGGGGAGTCGGCTGGGAGCCCGGGTGGCGGTTCTCACCCGGCGCCAGCGACATTTCCCCGCCGGGGCCGCCCTGCACGGCAGGCCTTGGCCCTCCAGCGCCCTGGCACGGCCCCCTCAGCACCCCTATTTCCAACAGTCCCAAGGACAGGCTGTTCCAGAGGGGTGGGGTGGGGCGCTCAGCTGGCTCTTCCTGAGACTTCCACTTGTTTTTTAAAAAGATTTTATTTATTTTTGCATAGAAGAACTGGGGTGCAGGCCAGAGGTGGGGGGGTGGTGGAGACAGGATCCAGCAGACACAGAGTGGGGAGCAGAGCAGGTGGATCCACTGAAACCCACTGCTGAGGGGAGCAGCCGGGAGACAGGAGAGGTCTGCTGCGCCATGTGGGTAGCTCCCTGGCCGGGGATGGAACTCAGGCAGTGGGGGTGACAGTGCTGAGACTTAACCCCTAGGCCACCAGGAAGGCCCCTTTTTGCTTCTGTCTTTGCAAATGAAGACAACATGCCCAGGCAGGGTCCCAAAAATGGGGGACTATTTCAAGTGTTTACATTTCATTTGCATCTTCCTTCAACAAATGTTAACTGAACACCTATTATGCGCCAGGCACTTCTCCACACCCAGGGATCCAGTCAAGATTCAAGCACCCCAACTCTGCCCTTGCTGAGCTCACACACAGAATGCAACGCAATGGCAGTGAGTTCTTCGGAGCGTGAGCAGAGGATTTATTTTGAAAACTGTCACTGTGCCGGGCGCCAAGGACAGAGCGGCCAGGTGATGGGTATGTTTCTCCAAGGGACGAGGCGAACGTCTTCCTTTAATTCTGGCAGTTTATCTCCGTGAGGACACTGGAAGACGCCATCACCATGGACACACCAAACACTGTGAACGAGAGGCCTGTGCGCCCCCTTGGTCCCCCCACCTGTGTGCCTGCGTCACCTCTGCTCTCTGTACTGAGGCAGCTTGGTCCACGGGGGTGGGGGGTGAAGTGGGGGGCGTGGGGGCGTGTGGGGTGAAGTAGGGAGGGGGGGAGGGGGCTGGGTGTCACTGACAGGAGCCAGCCCCTGCCTCTTCCTGGCAGGTCGGTGCCCTGGTGAAGGCCAGGGGGTCAGGGCTGCTGACAGGTACACGTCCCCTTGCATTCCCATTCTCTCTTGAGGGGCTCTGAGTCACCTCCAGAATGCTCTTGCCCAAAGGGCCTCCCCACCCCCCCACTGCACTGTGCCCCAAAGCACGCCCCGGGCAAAGTCCTAGATCACCACCCCAGGATTCTGGCGTCTGGCGTCACCTGGTGAGGCAAAAGGCTTCCTGATGACCTTCCCCTCTGAGTGCGCCCAGCATTTTCTCATTCCACTCATCACGGTGTTTAGTTTTCTCCAGGGTCGTGGCCTCCCTGGGAGAGAGCTCGGTGTATGGTAGGCGGCAACAGGCCAAGAGTAATAATTACTATTATTCATAACGTACTAGGCAGTAAGGATTCTGACTATTTAATGGAATCCTCACAACCACCTGTGAAGGAGGTGCTGTTGTTTCCCGTTTTCTAGATGGAGAAACTGGGGTCTCCTAACGCTAAGGATGTGCTGCAGGTGGAAGAGTTAGCAAGAGGCCCCAGTGATGCCCGGGTCTGGACGGCTGAGTCAGAACATGAGCCTTCCAACGCTTCAGCGCCGCGCAGCGAGCACCTGCTGTGCGCTGGGCCCTGCTGGCGAGACAGATGGACAAGGGACTCGCTGCTCCCTTGTGCCTGGGCCCTGCCCAGCTTTTCCTTCCAAGGAATTCTGTTTCGCTTTTTAAAAAATAAATCCGTAAGATTGTGAACTGTAACCTGTCTTTCGTGGGGAAGAGCCTATGTAGCCTCTAGAGTAAAGCGCCCTTAAAGAGGGTGGAATCCTCTATTGGCCTAAGTAGCCGGAGGCAGAAATGGGGGGTTAGGGGGATGGGGGGAATGGACAGGATGGGGCAGGACCTGCACAGAAGAGGGGTGCAGAGGGAGGCAGGGGTGCGGAGGAGACCATGGGAGAAGGGGCTGGGCGGCGTCGTGGTCTTGTGAAGCTGGCCCGGGGACTGGCCGGCGATGGACTTTGGGGTTACGGTGTCCCCACCGGCAGGGCAGTCTGGCCACTCTGGACATGAACCACCCCCGTGCCCCTGCCCGGTGTCAGGCGCCGTAACAGCGGGACGAGCGCCTGTGCCGTCCGGTTCCCACAGCCCAGACACAGGGTCAGGGCGCGGCCGGCCACGCAGGAGCTAATTGTCCATCAGCGGCCCTCGAGGCAGGGCTCTCCTGGGAGAGCCGCACGTCTTCATTTAGGCCGAGACATCCTGCCCTCTGGCACCAGCTAATGTCCTGCCAGTCCTTCTGGGGGTTCAAGGCTGCTCTCTCTGCAAATTCCCGTGCGCCCTCACCTGCATGCAAGCACCAACCACCTCTGCCCCGACTGTGCGTGGGGAGACGTGAAGACAGGCCTCCCCCAGACCCCGGGCCCTCAGTGGCAGGTGTGCGCGGCTGTGCGTGGCCCGTTCGCCCCGTCGCGTCCTCCCTGCTCCTGCTCACATCCTGGGAGGTGACCTAAATGGGCAAGGCCAGATGTCCACCCCACTAGATCAAGTGGGGTCAGCCATGGGAGTCTGGGGGGACCAGAGGCAGGGAGGCGCGGGAGCTGGGGATGCCAGGGCCTGGCTCCTTCCACAGAAGCCCTGGGCTGGGGCTGGGGCTGGGGCTGGGGCTGCTCCGGCTCCTGCGGGGAGGGCTGGGCCTCTGCACACAGCCCTGACTGCCTCCATGCCCAGGCCTCGTTAATTATGATTCACGAAGGTTCTGGAAACCATACAGTATCCCAAATGCAACCTTGTACCGTGGGGCGCAATAAACGGCAGTTGAGCTAAATGAGGGGCAGGTGTGTTTGTTTGCGAGCAGAAGAGAAAGGCTTTTAAGGATCTCGAGAACTAGGACCAGATGGCTAAGAAGCCCCTAGGCTCCTGGCAAACAGTTTTTATTTATTTTTCCACTGATGATCTTACATTTTTTCATTTTCTGAACTTAATAAGAATAAATTTAACTTAAAAAAATTTGGTGTGCAGGTCTCCAATTTTAACACATGGACGGACTGGTGTAAGCACCACAGTTAAGATACAGAACGGACCCATCACCCCCAAATTCCTGCACGCTCTCCCTTGGTAGAGATACCCAGGGTCTCTGATCAGTCCTTCATGTTTTGTCTTTTTAATGTCATATGTATAGTCTCCGCTGGTAGGTGACCTTAGGAATCTGGCTTCCTTTGCTCAGCATAATGCCTCCGAGGTCCATCAAACCTGTCCTTTTTGCTGGCTGGGTAATACTCCCCTGCAGCAGCACGGAGGTTTAGCTCTCCATTCACATTTGTGTTGTTTCCAGTGTTCGATGGCTAACAGGACTAAAATATTCCTGGACAGGCTATTCTGCGTGAACAGGGCTTTCATTCCCCTTGGATGATGTCAGGGACGGAATGTATCCCCCACATTCACGCTGAAGGCCATTCGTAGAAGGTAAGGACACCAGAGCGCCCGCTCAACCTGGAAGATGGGCATCGGCCTCGCTGGCACCTTGATCGTGGACTTGCGGCCTCCAGAGCTGTGACAGAGTAAACGTCTACTGTCCCGGCCGCCCAGGCCAGGGTGCTTTGTTACAGCAGCCTGTGCGGACTGGCTCTGGCAAACGAGGGGATGTTTAACTTTGTCAGAAACTGTTGAACCATTTCCCCGAGCTCTGCGTTCCCACCAGCAGAGAGTCCAGCTGCTCCGCAACCTTGCCAACAGGTGATCTTATCAGTGTTTTTCCCACGCAGTTATTATTTGGGCTTCGTGTGGGGATGTGTTTGTGATATTTTTTTGTAGGTAGTAAGTGCTGGGGAGCATTTTGAAGCTACAGATGTTTTCAACGTGTCCTACAGAGCGCTCACCCATCTTGTGGGTTCCCTTTTCTTCGCTCTTCTGACCTCCTTCTGTTCCGGGGCGGTGGCCCGCACTGAGCTGGCTAGTGATCTGGCAAATTAGTCTTGATCGGGCGTCAGGTGTGGACGGGCCTGCTTTCACGGGCCCTGTGCTTCACTTAAGGTCCTGCTGTCGCTATTTGAAAGTTTTAGTACGTTTTGAACAAGGGACCCACATGTTCATGTTGTCCCGGGCCCTACAAATTATGCAATTGGACTTGGGCGTGGTTAGCTGCAGGCGGGGCAAGCATTCTGCCAGGCTTACTGGGCGAGAGGCCGTCATCGTGCAGACCAAGCAGGCCCCTGAGCTAACCCAGCACCCCCAACCCCACTCCCCCGCATGCTCCTGCTGGCGTCCCTGAGCAGACGGGAGTCAGCACCATGAATGTGGAGGTTTCACGAGAGAGCTGATGACCTAGGATCCCAATATTCAAACGAAGACTTGCATTCATTAGGGTCTTTTAATCAGAAGGCAAACTGAGCCTGCCTTTTCTACCCCAACACCTCCAAATTGTACTTGGGCATTTACAGGGGAGCAGTTAAGTCCACGGGCTCCTAACTGTCACCCTGCCAGTCCAGCTGGCAAGAGGCGCAGTCAGCGGAAGGCGCCTTACAGGGAGCTCCACTGTGGCCTCGCAGCCTCGTGCCTGGCTGGGGAGGCCGGTGGCGTCAGCCCCGGGGGGCAGGGGCACGGGCAACGAGGCCACAGGGGGCAGCTCACCCAGCCACTCTGCACTCAGTTGCTTCAGCTCTACGGTGGCATCTACAGCACTTCCTCCCCCGAAGGCCTGATGGTGAGGCGCATGCGAGGGGACCTGGAGAACAGTGAGGGCTGCTGAGGAACCCCTTCAGAGACCTGCCTGCTCTTCCCTCCAGCGTCCTCGAGCGAATCAAGGTGACCAGGACTCACTCAGGGTCGGGGAAAGGAAAGCTGGATCACCAGAAAATAAAATGGGAGCCTGGAGAGAGCAGGGAGGGGCTGCTGCCAGCCCCACCAGGCAGGCGGAGGCATCGCCATGGCAGAGCCTTCCTCCTCGGCTCCCAAGCCCTGCCCCACGTGCCCTGTTTCGAAGAGCAATGCCAGGTCTACCCAAACTGATCACATTTTGATGGCACCTGAAAGATGGCCTGATGGAGCCTTCAAACTAGAGGATTAAATAGTGATGGAGGGGCCTCCCTGGTGGCACAAGGGGTTAAGTCTCAGCACTAGGAAGCTATCGCCATCCACTGCAGCACCAGTTCGATCCCCAGCCAGGGAGCTACCCACATGGCACGGCAGACCTCTCCTGTCTCACTGGCTGCTCCCCTCAGCAGTGGATTTCAGTAGATCTGCCTGTTCTGCTCCTGTCTCTGGTAAATCCTCCCCCACCCCCAACCTGCACACCTCTGGCCTACACCCCAGTTCTTGAATGCAAAAATAAATCTTTTAAAAAATAAAATAAATAGCGATGGAGAGTGAGCCCCAGAGGACTTGGGTTCCAACGCCAGCTCTGCTGTCTCCTGGCCGTTAGTTACCACTGAAATAGATCAGCCTCCCAGTGCCTCAGTGTCTCGTCTGCTAAGCGAGGACAAACTATACTAGCTACTCTGGGTGGTTAGGCCTAAACAAGAGAAGGACGGGAAACTGCGCTGAACGCAGCAGCCCGCGGGGCTCCTGCCCCTATCAAGGACTGACTTGTTTGGGTAACCCTGGAGCCTGGGTGGAGCTGGTATTCTAGGGTAGGGGAAGGCTCCACGCAGGGGGTCTGTGAGTCCTGGGACTGAATGTGAAGGGGAAGCAAAGGGAGGCCAGGGAGGCCACAGCTAGTTGCGTAGTAACAGGGTTTTCTTTGCTTGTGAAGAGCCGGCTGGTGTTGACAGGTAACTAGGTGGAGGTTTCAATCTGCAAAGAAGTTAAAGGTTAAACAAAGGGAATTCTTCCGGGGGAATGAATGGACTCCAGCTGGAGCAGGCGGGTGAGCAGGAAGGGCAGCCTGCAGGCCCTGCCCACCGCAGAGGCAGTGCGGGGGAGGGGCACTCTGCAGCCTGGACTTGGCGTCTCTCCGTGGCCATAGAAACCGCATCTGTCTCTTTCAACAGGGCTCTGAGGAAGGGATATTTAACTCCGACTCCTTTGGGTCTGCAGCAGTCCTGCCTTCTCTGAGGACACCCAGGGCCCCGGCCCTGTGCACTGAGATGGGCTGCCAAGCCAGCAAAAGCACCAAAGTGGTAGATGAGCCCCAGCAGCCCGGGGGCCAGCAGGAGGGGAAAGAGCCCAAGCCGGAGGCCTGCGCGGAGACGGCGGACAGCAAAGATGCCCCACAGAAGGATGGCGCTCCTGAGCCCAAGAGCTGAGATGCTTTTCTCCGGGAGGGCCCCTCACTGCGCTCCTGGAACTGCCTCTGGCTCAGGAAACCCACGACCATTTCCATGGGGAGCTGAGAGCAGCATCAGGAGAGAGAAATCCTGGCCTTGGGGACTCGGGAGGGGCCCTGCTTCAGGCTGTGCTCCCGGCAGCTGAGGTAAAGAGGACTCACTCGTTTCTCCTACCCTCTGGTGGGGACAAAAGACGCTTCCGGACATCATGGGACTTGCCCGCGGCCCGCAGCAGACCCTGAGGGCTCCAGGGAACGAACCTGCTGAGCGGTGACAGCCCAGCCGCACCCCCCACCCCACGCCCCCACTCCGCCTGGCCTCAATCAACCCTGAAAACCCAGCGGTCACGTCATGGGTCGGGGTGTCTGGTTCTCAATTTGCTCTTTCTCTCCCTTTTAAAAACAGCTGGCGGGGCACCAGCACCCCTCACGGCTGGGCGCGCGCCGGGTCACGCCCTGCTGTCTGCGTGAATAATTCAGTCTCTGACTTGGAGAATCGCTGATGAGCTCTGGGCACCATCGGGACTGTGCGCCTGGCAATGGAAGGCGACCAGGCCTGGCCGTCCTGGGAGGGGAGCAGGAGCAGGCGCGCTGGTGGGAAGGGAGGGGCCCGTGTTCCTGGGCTTTGAATCCCCAGAAAAATGTCCTCCGCCGATGGTCACGCGTCTGCTCGCCACGGACAGTCTGTCGCCGTGAACCCTGCGGCGTCTGAGCGCTCCCTAGCGAGCCTTCAACCACACTTCACTGTTTACTGACATGCCTGCCAGTCTGTCCTTTCCTTCCTGCATGTGTTTTGTTTTTAATTCCACTCAAAAGCATTTTAATGTGAAATCAAGCAGACATGTTTGCAAATAAATGATGACAGGACCGGGGATCCGAGAGGAGGGACAGCAGGGAGGGCGGGCGCGCCGCGGCGCCGAGTGCGGAGCAGCTGGGAGCCTCTTCCCCTGGCCAGGCCGCACCAGGGAGCCCGGCGGGGGGGGGGGGGGGGGCTTTAGCGCTAAGCACACCCACCCCCATTTTAGAGATGAGGAAACTGAGGCACCGAGGTTAAGTAACTTGCCTGAGCGTGGCCTGTACAGGAGGGTCGCAGGTTTCATTAGCCAGAGGCAGTTCCGGGACCCACGTGTGAACCCCAGGGGTGCAGCTGTTCACTGAGCGCTACAAAGTCCCATCTGAAGTGGAGCGTCCTCCCCGTGACTCAGGGCAGAGCCAAGCCCAGAGCAGCCCCGGTCGGGACCGTTTCTCGTCACTCGTGCAGATCTACCTGCCTGCGACACGGAGGTGGCCAGCCGGGCCTCTGGCTTTTACTCAGGGGCTGGGGGTCAGGGGCCGTGAGGAGGCGCGTTGGCCGGGGACAGGAGGACAGGAAGGGAAGGAGAAAGAGGCAGCAAGCTACTGGCAACGACCCTTCTCTGTGGCCATAAAAGTCTAAGCAACTGCAAGGATTCTCTAGAGATGACAAAGCCCTCAGGTAAGGAGGAAAGAAGGCAGGCCGGGAGGAAGCAGCTGGCTGCACACGGACTCCCCAAGGTTGCTGTCGCTCCAGTCCAGCCTGCGGTCTTCCCAGAAGGAGCAGGAGAGACCGGGCCGCCTCCCTGGCACCAGGCCCTGCTCTGTCCGGGGGGTGCCAAGCCTCCAGCAGGCCAGGAAACAGGCCTGCGCTTGCAGCGGGGAGCAGGAAGTTCGGGCCTCTTGCCCCAGCATACCGGGGACAGGCCAAACTCTGGTTACTGTTTTCCATTTTTAAGACAATTGTTTTTTCCTCCCTTCTCTCTCCTAATGGGAATTCACCCTGCAAACCAGCTCTGTGTCTGGTGAGACACTGTCCACCGTGCCCACCCTCAGGCCAAGCGGGAAAAGGCCTCAGTGGCGGGGCGGCTTGTAGGCAGGGCGGTGGTTACTTCACCAGCTCCTGGGGGGTGGAACTCACTCGGCTTCTGAACACGGCAGAGAAGGAGGCTCCAGGTCCTCAGAAGTTCAGAAACTGGGTGGTTTGTTTTGTTTCTTCAGGGATGGCGCAAAATGCTCATTTAATTAAATTCAAGATCTCTCAGGGCTTTTAAAAACAGGATTCTTCATCTACCTCCAGCTGGGGCAGGCATGCTGCAATTTGCCAGGAAGTTAATCTGCAAGAGGAAAAAGCACCCAGTTTTTTTTTTTTAGGGACACTCCATTGTTCCCTCAGGGCCCGGGACTGCTCATCTGCCCCCCTGAGCTCAGGGGCCTGGCAGAAAAGCGGTGAGAATTATGTCCACGAAGACATGACTTGAGTCTCCCGAAAATCTGGCTCTTAACTTGAGAGCCCCTGCTCCCAACTCACCTGAGCCTTCTCCTGAGCCGCTGGAAAGGAGCTTGTTTACTAGTCAACTGATCTGTCCACATGTCCTCCCTCCCTCCCATCATCCACCTGTCTTTCTAGAAAGTTCGCTTAGCATTCATCTAGCTATCCGTCCACTGAGCTCTTCCCTTAGATTTCTTTTTTTTTCAGTTACATCAGGCAGTAAGTTTCCCCTTCGAAGCCCCATCCACTCATTACGAGTATTTTTTAGTTTCCCGTCTTCGCTCCCCTCCTATCTATTAACTGAGCTGCGACGGGGGGACTGCTGTGTGCCCAGCTCCTTAGTGCTCTGAAAAGGCTGAGGTGTATTTGTGGGAGCACAGCCTGGCACAGGGTGTCGGGAGAGGTTGTTCCGGACCAGGTGAGACTGGCATGGAGCCTTGAAGGGGAAGCGGGAATTGGCAAGGACAGGGGATGGGAGCGGTATCACCCAGGATGGGAGGCTGCCTGGGCACGATGACTGGGGGACCCCGAGGGCACCTCCCACAAGGACAGGGAGGGGGCGCTGCCCAAGTGAGAAGGATGGGAACTGGGGGCTTTGCATTTTATACACTGAGGCTGAGGGTTCATCCTAACGGGGGTGAGGGCTTAAGGCAGAGGGGTGCTAGGACCTGGCTTTGAGTGCTAGGTATCCTGCCTCCCGGTAACAAACCCCACCTTTCCCCTTGGGGCACCACTTTCTTCCTCTCAGTTTGCATGGCTGGGTGAGGCTCATCCCACTCACAGGTTCCAGGCTAAGCATGAAAAGTCCCTGATCAAAGCGATTTGCTCAAGAACATGGGGTCAAACCCAAACCGGTCCTGGGACTTTTCTGCTGAAGCAATTAGGGAAGAAGTGCTCACTTTCTTTCTTTTTTTTTTTAAGATTCATTTATTTATGCAGACAAGGTCTGGGGCACAGGCCAGATATGCGGGGGGAGGGGGTGGTGGTGAGAAGATTCACCAGAGGCGGAGCAGGGAGCAGAACAGGCAGACGGACTGAAATACACTCTGAGGCGAGCAGTGGGGAGACAGGAGAGGTCTGCCGCGCCCTGTGGGTAGCTCCTTGGCCAGGGATCGAACTCAGGCCGCCGTGGCTGGCAATAGCTTGATAGTGCTGCGAATTAAAGTCTTACACACTTACTTTCGTCTTTATGCGGTGGGGGTAAGAACCCATTTAGGGCAGGCAGGTTTGGGGGGCCTGGGGTGCTTCGTCGCCCTGCTCTGTAACAGATGTCTCCCCACTGATAGAGAGGCCTCTGTTACACGACAGTCACCGAATCTCATCTGCGCACAACCGTGAGCTCTTCCTACTGCTGGCGGGTCTGGGTCGCTGCAGGTCAGTGACAGAGGCCGCCTGCGGTGCGCGCCTGGCGACGAGCAGGAGCACCAGACACTGAGTCCGTTACAGGCAGGGCGGGGGGCACCCCGGAACCCCCAAACCTGCTTCTCTAAATAGGCTCTGCCATCTGCTGCATCAAGACAAACACACGCTAGAGCTTAAGACCTTCAAAGGAAATGCCTTCAATACAGTGACTGTGCGCTGGAGGGGCGAGAAAGAGAAAGAATGTAGCTTCCAAACCGAGCACCCAAAGGTGCCCGTCCCCTCGTGGGTAACTGCCCAGCCAAGCAGGGTTGGCGAAAAAGCAAGCCGCCACACGTCTGGGGCGCGTCCTGGTGGGGCCCACGGGAAGGGGGCAGAGCAACCGGGCGAGCCTGCAAGGAAAAGAGCAAATTCAGCAGGAGGATAAGGGCTGCCTTCGCCGGCCTGCTGCGGGGCTCCCCCCAGTCTGCCTCGGGTGTCTCCCTCCGCGTCCCCCACGGCCGGGTGAAGGCCCGAGGCTGAGAAGCCAGCGCAGCCTCTTCAGGCTCTGCCCCGCGCGCCCCCCCAGGCCCTCTCCTGCCCTCGCCCTCCTCTTCCTCCGGGCTCCTCTGCTTCTCCCCCTGCCAGCTCCCCCTCCTTGGGGTGGGGCAGGTCGCCTGGAACCCCTGCTCCCTGGGGACCCCCCCTGCTCCCCTCCAGCTACACCACCGCACTCGGACCCCACCACGCAGCGCCGCCAGGAGCCGCCCTGACAGGAGGCAGCGCTGGGTCCACGTGCCGGGGAGGGTGCCCGGCCGAGCAGGGGAGCGCGACAAAGACCAAGTCAAGAAACACCCAGGGGGAGAACCAAGCCCCTCGGGCGGGTGGCGGCACGCAGGGGCTCAGGGGAGAACGGGGTCAAGGTTTCTGGGCGGCTGGCCCCGCGGGGAGAGGTTGAGTCTGAGATGCTCACGGGACAAAATGGAAAGAGCAGCAGCAGGTGCTCGTGCCCGGGTTGCTGTGCCCCGTGCCGTGGCGAGCACTTGGCATCCAGGACCCGTTGAGTCCTCACGAGCCCTGCGTGGCCGCTGAGAGGTGCCCCCGTCCCTGTCCTGGAACAGGAGCGTCCAGAAAATACAGTGGCTGTTACACCCTCTCCGAGGGAGATCCCAGGGCGCTCCCCTTGCAGCGGCACACAGCGAGTTTCCCCAAGAGGCAGAGACCTCTGGTTATAGCCAACAGGGCGGGTGTATTATATATTTAAAAAAAGGAAAGAAGAAGATGCTGGCACAGACGAGCGGGCAGGAAGAGCTGCCGCTGCTCTTTGCAAAGGAAGAAAAGGTTTGTGAGAAGCAGCACCTGTGTAGTCACGGAGGGCGGGGTGGGGGGCTGCCTCTTCCTGGGGCAGACATGGCGCTGACACAGTGGTCTTCTTTGGGGAGGGGTTTATTCCCCTGTGGAGTTGTTACCTATTGTTCAGTTACTTCTAGGGGTGACTAGGTTGACAGGTAAGGACTGGGGATTGTCCATAATGGCCTCCATCTCCACCTCTGGTCTGCGCCCCGATGCTGTCCACAGCACCTGACACCTGCTGCAGCCGCAGGCGCCGAGGACTCTGCATGTCCGTAGCTGGTTTAACAACCGCGTTCATCCCTTCTACCCCCGCCTCCAGTTTCTGCTCTAGTGACTCTTTCACCCTAAACTTTTCTACTCAAGACTCCACAGCCCCACAAATACTGGTAAAGAGCTTCAGCCCTCTCATCAAGCAGGTGATAAACCTGCTCCATCTGCCAGAAACAAATTCAGACAAAAGAAAAAAAAGGTGGGAAAAAGATGAGGATCAACTCTTATATCTAAACTGGTAAGCTTCGGGCTACTCAATGTCTTGGCTTGGCTGGCTGTAACGGTATCATGGAGCTGGTGTTTTAAACAGCAAGTATTTTTTTTCTCACAGGTCTGAAGACTGGAAGGCCAAGGTCAGGGGCCAATGTGGTAAGGTCTGGTGAAAGCCCGTGGTCGCAGTGGTAGGACTCTCACATGGGGAGGAGGAAGAGGAAGAGGCAGAGGCTTTTGCCTCATGTGGCCAGACTGACTAAAATTGAATGGATTGATAATCACTAGGCCCTGAAACAGTATAATCCCCACAGAATGGGGAGTTTCCAGGATCCCTGCCACACCCAAGGAATCTTCTCTTTCTTAAAAGGACAGGTTTTCTGGGTTGTTGGTGTGTTATTAATAAGAAGCTGTACAGGTTTTCTCTACTTTGAAGCAATCCACGTAGGAAACAATTCTGTGTGTTACTGGAGTAATTTCCTTTCATCGTTTAATGCCTTTCACTATTTAAGAGAAATGAGTGTTCTCACTTTTAAAAAGAGCTGAGGGGTTTTGGTGGTATTTTTTTTTTTTCAACCATACTGTCTCCTATATTTACTTTTGAAATCTCTTATTGTTATTTTGGTTAAATGGACAACTAAGTATTGTTGCAGTGACCTGTGCTCTTGGTTAATCAAGTGTTTAAACCCTCTGACATTTTTGACAGCTTCCCCAAATTAAATTCTAAATGAAGTCTTCTTGACCTCAAACTGAGTTTGAGATTTCCCAGAGGTCCCTGGAAAACCTCAAAGGGTTTGTTCTCTCACTGTAAAAAGAGAGCTGTTAGCTAATTAGGTTTATTTGATGTGTTAAATTGCATGGAAAGCATTGTCAAGTAAGAAGAGATGCTTAACCTTCCCTAGCTTATATTTGTATGGATAAATGCTATTAATATTAAGTACTTCAGAAATTGTATGAATTTCCTGGAAATTTGTCATGCCTTTACCGTCCATGATATGCACTGGTATAATGTTATTAGTCATAATTGCAGTTATTATTTAAAATATTGTATGCCACAGAAACAACCAAAGTTTCTTGTCAAATTTTGTTATTTTTATAATGAAAGTCTATCAATTTTTAAATCAAGGACATTTTTAAGTCTGGCTATTCACAGATAGTTATCGTTTTATGCTGATGCTTTCTGACAGCCATTGTAATTAGCTACAAGTCAGACTGCTTCACCTTCAACAAAAAGGGACTATCTCAGACAGACACCAAAGGACCTTATCTGGGGTATAGGCTTCTGACTGTTTTTATAGCTTTGAGATCATATCACTGAACTGAGTAAAGATTTCCAGAACTTGAGAAACTGATGGATTTATGAAACTCCTAACCAAACAATTATTTACATGGGACTGAATGAAGTAATGAAGAATGATGATAATTTTTATGAATTTTTTGGTACCAGATCTATAGGAAGAAAAATACAAGCACTGGCTAGATGCAGCTCTCTCCACCTGTGACTATGCAGGTGCCCTTCTTTTTCTTTCTCCTCTTCCTAGTACATATGTCCTTTTAAAATGTTAAAGCAAAAAAGAAAAAGAAAGAAAGAAAAAGAAAAATACAAAACCCTGATGAACAAAAATCAGAGTAGAGGTAAGTGGAGAGATATTCCATGTTCATGGATAGCAAGATTCTATATTGTCAAGATGTCAGTTCACCCCAATTTGATCTACAGATTTGAGGCAATTCCAATCAAAATCCCCTCAAGTTATTTTGTGGAGGTTAACAAATCAGTTATAAAGCTAATATGGAAAGGTAAAAAAAAAATAGTCTATTAAAGTAGAAAAACAAAACTGGAGGACTGACAATATCCGACTTAAAGACTTACTACAAAGGTATCAATCAAGACAGTGTAGTGTAAGTGAAAGAACAGACAGATCAATGAAAGAGAAGGGATTCCAGAAATAGACCCCATGAAAGGTAGTCAGGTGATCTTTGAGAAAGAAACAAAGGTAGTTACAGCGGAGCAAAGACAGTCTTGGTGAAATGGTGCTGAAATCCGGACACCCACGTTCCAAAAAGTATATCTGGACATAGCCCTCATGATCTTCACAAAAATTAACTCAAAATGGACTGTGGACCAAAATGTAAAATGTAAAGCTATAAAACGAAAAGATAACAAAGAAGGAAACCTAAACAAGCTTGGCTGCGACCTCTGGTGTACCCGGAAAGACCTGCTCTGATCCTTCTAGGGACCACTCCTCCTGGGAGCGTGGACAAGCCCCTCCTCCGGATAGGGAGGGCACTTCTTGAGTCTTTCAGGACTTGCTTCAGGAGACAAAGGGGTTGCTGATGTCAGACAGATCTTTTTGCTTTGGCATTTTTCTCAGGCTCCTTCAGCTCCATATTCAATATGCCAAGGTGCCAGACTTTGGGAGTAATGTGCTCAGAACCCAATCAAAAGACAGGGTTTTATTCATGTGGGTACATGGAGTTCACAGAAATATGTGATTCAAGGATTACATTGTGCTATATACCATCTTAATAGGGACTCTGGAGGGGCAGAGAGGTACTTCTGGGGGAACAATTGGCTCTTTAGAAGAGCGGGGGAAGGTGGGGCCAGTAGGAGGATTATGGAAGCACAGATGACTTTTTTGAAACTGGGTTCTTGGGAGAACAGATGAAAGATATGATAGTTTTGTGACAATGTCTTTTTGGGTGTGGTGCTGTGCAAAGAAGATTTGGGGATTTATGATAATTGAGTTATTTTGGGAGGCTTTGCTTTTAGGCAGATAAGGGATTTCAGGAACTGAAATACCTTCAATTCAAAATAATTCTTATGCCAAAGTGGCATATTTTGAAAGTTCCAATCCCCTTTCAATGCAGTTTTAAAAAAATGTCCTGGACTAATATCCATCTGCAGTAGATAAGGACCTGACAAGAGAGGACTTTCAAAAGCAAGTGTAATCCTTCAGAATGCCACAGCCTCAGAGGCCCAGCTTTAGTGACATTCAAAAAACTATCTATCAACCCCAATTAATTTAAAAGTAATTCCAACTGTGGTCGCCTCTCTTCAAGAACGTTAGAAAACCACTTCAAAACACACAGCAATACTTATCAGAATTCTTTTCTTTTTCCTACCTGATTCTCCCATACCCAGAGAGTCCTTGAACTTCCTATAAATCCCCTCAAACTGTTCCCCAGCTTCCAGCTCCTTAGGCCATTCTGTTTCTTGCTGGCCCCCATTTTCCCCCTTGTGTTTTGTTATGCAGATTAATTTTCTCTTGTTATATTTTAAAAAGTTTCTTTTCTGCTTGGCTCCTCCTAATTCTCCAAACAGAAAGAGTATAGGAATTAAGCAAACAAGATTCTGTTGGTTGTTTCTTCCCCTTGCGGAATTATCTTTATGGAATCAGTAAGCAAATAACTTTCCAGTGAGAGAATGTTGGGAATCTCACACTCTGACAAACTTATTCCTGTTACACAATTATCCAATTCCTCTTTGTCCCAACATTTCTTTTTCTTTTTTTGAAGTTGCTAAGCATCAAATGCATTTGTATACAATTATTCCAATGTGCAGTTGAGCACACACATCACATAACACTCATTCTCTTGCTTTTGCACTCTCTCTGGTCTTGGAGTGGTTAAAAAAAAACCAACAAAACAATTCTGTCTTTGTGCCGATGTGAAAATTAGGAAATCTTCCAGAGGAATGCAAATTAGACAAATATTAGACCTATTTTAGTGCCAGTTTATACACTGACCAGAGTCCCTTCTAAAACTGTAATTATAATTTGGTTATCTTTTTGATGGCAGACAAAATAGCTGTTTTTAAATATTTGAACTGTACCCATGTGGAAATATGGTAGACTTAATCCATCATCCGCAAAGTGAAAACCAGAATAAGTGGAAATTAGTTAAAGGCAGATTTCTACTCAATACAAAGAACTTTTTAAATATTTAAAGATATTCAATAATGAAATGTGTTGATTTTAGAAATGCTGAGTTTCCTGTCCTTGGGGATATTTAAAAAGAGATTGGACAATTCTTCGCCATGATTGTACGGGACTGTTCAGGCATGGAATAGGATTTGGGCTAGACTAGAAGCACTATTGAGCAAGTGTTCAGAGTCTGCATTCAAAGCATGGTTTGCCCACTTACTAGCTCTGTGGCCCTGGAGGAATTATCCATTCTCTCCCACTTTCCTCATTTGTTAAATGTTACATAGTTACATATATGTACGTTGCATAGCACAGATAATAGAAGGAATAACAAGCTACCTATACATTATATACATGTATATAACTGTTTTTGAAGATTAAATAAGATAATACAGAGAAAACAGCACAGAGTAAATAATAAATAATAGTGGTTATTATTATAGCCTTTATATCGGTGTATTTACTAAAATGTATTCCCAGGTATGTTGATAGGTATTATGAGATGAAGAGTTGGATGGTCAAATTGTATAAGATGTTTCTCTATAAAAAGGGAGAGTATATGTTCCCCACCCCACCCAGAAGGGGTGAAGCTGGGCACTGAGGGGAAGCCTGGGACACAGAAGAGGCTGGGAGAGACAGAGAGACGTGTGAGAAGACCCGCTTGCTTCTTGGCTTTGGGCTTGCACCAGGGGCTTGGGGGACATGGAGACACTTGAAAGAGAGAGAGTGGGTGAGAGGCCCTGGGGAGGCTGACAATGGCAGTCTTTACCATGACCTGTGCTCTGATTTTGCTCCTTCTGTCCTTTGTAGCACTGTCGCCAATGACACTTCACGTTCGTTTATGAGATCTGTCAGTTTCAGCTAGGTCTCCACGGGAGCAAGAGGGTGCTTTCTCTCACCCCAAAGGGGGCATATCCTGGGCAGCACTCAGCAAGTATTGCATGGATGACTCTCTGGATAGATTTCTAAAACACTTTTGAGGTTTAATACACCTATGGAAAAGAGCACATACATGTACCTCATGACTTGTTCTGCATAGACTTGTAAGAAGTTTCTTTTCAGAAAAGAGAATTTTTTCAAACTCGGCAGCCAAAGAGAAATGGCCGCTGAGGCAGCTACAGGACGTGCGCACTAGAGGGCGACAGAAGCAAAGGAATGAGGGGAGCCAGCAGCCCAGACACTGGTTCAGAACAGGGGACGCCTGGCTGTTTCTCAGAGCACAAAGGATTCTGGGAAGCTCCATGGCCATCCGGCCGTCACTCTCGAGCTCAGAGGCCAAAGCAGACTCCTTCCAGGTGCCTGCCAACCGGGGAGAGGCTTATTATTGCCATTCCCTAACCGTGCGGGTCAGGACTTTCAGATGCGAGGAAGACAAAGCACGCGGGTAATCGTGGGAACACCCCGAGAGGTGGAGGAAAGAAATCTTTTCCACCACGACTCGACTCAGAGAACGAGAACGAGTCCCGGGTACAGAGGCAGCACCAACACGGCCTGGCATCCTGTGGCCCTTAGAAGCGGTTCCTCCCCGGCCCTGTGATGCTGCTGTACTTGGGACCTTTCCATACCCCTCCCGGTGCGAAGGCTCTCCCTGTTTTTGACCCCCAGCCACTGCCTTTTCACATCTGCTGCCCTTCTTCAGCCTCCACCCCAAATACCTCATACCACAGTCTGCTGTGAGCTGCTGATTGACCGTGATCAGGGGACGATGAAGTCATCACGCACTATCAGGCTGTAAGCGACTGCCATCAGTATGAACAGGGGAGCCAGCCACCCCCACTACCCGCACAGCTTAGGGCCCTGTGGCCCCTTCCTTATAAGGATAACAAGCACTGTATCATTCTCCAAAATAATTGAAAAGGAATTAAGAGCACTATCAACCCATTAACCCATTATCAACCCAGCTAAAAACAGTCTCAGGCTAACTGCCATTGTTTTTCTTTTTAAAAAAGATTTATTTTCATTTATTTATGCATATAAGAGCTGGGGTACAGGCCAGAGGTGCGGGGGTGTATGTGTGAGAGGATTCACCAGAGACAGAGTGGGGAGCAGAAGAGGCAGATCTACTGAAATACACTGCTGAGGGGAGCAGCGGGGGAGCCAGGAGAGGTCTGCTGCACCATGTGGGTAGCTCTCTGGCTGGGGATCGAACTCAGGCCACAGTGGCTGACGATAGCTTGATAGTGCTGAGACTAACCCTTGCGCCACCTGGGAGGCCCTGCCATTGTTATTTTTTTTTTTTTTTAACAATTTTGAATTTTTTTTTAAAGATTTATTTTATTTTATTTATTTATACAAGCACTGGGTATAGTCAGAAGCGTGGGAGGGTGAGAGAATTCACCAGAGCCAGAGCAGGGAGCAGATGCCATTGTTATTCTTAACGGTTACCTGTAAGACACCATTCTCCATTCTTCTGAACTGTAGGACTTGAGGCTAACACCTTTATCTAAGACCAGATTAGGTCACTGGAAAACTGTGTGTCCTTGGGTAAGTCACTTAACTTCTCTGAGCCTTAGATTCCACGTTATAATTGCTTTCCCCATAGGATTAGGGTGAGAGTCCCTTGCAAGTTCTAGACACTGAATCTCACCCGCAGCTGCATACTGGGACACTGAGTAGCTTTAAAAACTACCTCTGGAAATACTGGCTTATGCCATCTATTTTGAGCCTCGGGTGGCATTTCAAAATGCTTCATGCACATGTCGAGTGACGAACCTCTGTATATTCCCAAAGAAAGATGCTGTTTCATTTCCAGGATGGCCAAAGAGAAACTATTGCTGAGCTGAGCCTGTGAGTCCTGCCCACTCAGCTACCCCTGGGCCGGCATTCCTGGCCGAACCTAGCCAGGGTTAGAGGTCCTGGTTGTGTCCGCCCCTGCTCTGGAGCTACAGACAAGAGAGACTCTGAAGCCAGTGACCCGGGCTGGATGAAAGTCACGGCTGGGCATATAAGCAATGGGACGGCTATGCACCTGAGAGCAGGTACTCATACTCACATGTGACATGCGTTGAGGTCCAGATCCAGAGCCTCCCTGCAGAGGGAACAGTCACTCCGGGGAAAGTGAGGTTGGAATGATGGAGAATTCTGGCCCCTCTATTGGAAAGGAGGCATTTCACCATGCCCAAAGCCCCACCAACTTGTCCTTTCTAATGAGCTGGCTCAGAAAAACCCTGACTTCTGCCCATGAAAACACAGATTAAATAAAAATCAATTCCAAATGAAATGCATTCCAACCTTTTCGTATTATGGTTGTAGAGTTAATCGCTCCTCATTGTCCTATGCGTAAGGCAGAAGAGCGTCACTAAAGCACTAACGATCCCTTCCACGAAATGGGTGTGTGCCAGAGAGAGGCGGTGACTGAGGAGTTCTTAAGTGGGTGGTTTTAGAGGTGTGTTTTTAAAGTGTCTTTGGAAACAACTAAATTTGTCAAGAGAAGACACTTTCCTGGAGCTTGTGTAAGTTATTTACAAAGCACGTAGGGGTCAGTGCTTTGGAGGTTTCACCGACTCATCCCTTCATTCCCCTGTCATTCATTTCTTTTTAAAAAAAAATTGATGGATATTCTGTACTTCTATACACCCGACTTTGTGGGGGTCCTGGGGAACCAGTGGTGAGCAAAAGAAAACATACTTTCATTGTTCATGAGGCTTTTAGCCTAGTTGGGACAATAGTCAAATCATCAAATAAATAAATATGAAATTTCAATGGTGACAAATGCACTGGGACCAGTAACTGGGGAGTGTGACTGGGGACGTCAGGGAAGTTTGTTTCTAGGCAAGATATATCTCAAGATCTGAAGTAGTTATTAATCAGGCTGAGGGGCCAGCATGTGCAAAGGCCCCGTGGTGGAAGGATGTCTGATTCCAGGAAGGAGGGCAGTAGTCCTGGAGTTCACAGAGAGACCAGCATGGGCACGAGATGAGACTGGAGCGAGCGCGGGAGGGCACAGTATGGGACACTTTAGGCCACAGCTAGGCTGCTGGTTTTTATCCTGAGAGCAACGAGGACATGCCGAAGGGTTTTAATGAGCATGAGGTGCGATGGAGAGGAATGTGAGTTCTCTTGCCACACTGAGATGACACCAGAGAAGGTCAGCACTGTCCACTGGCGGGCAGGTGATAGGCACTTCAAAGGAGGCTGCACCAGTCAGAGACTGAATCTGTCCTCAGAACAGGTGGGACACATGGAGAGTTCCTGGGGGGCCTGGGCCCCATTCACTGAACTATGTCTGCCCCCGTCACCTTTCTTCACAGCACCGTAGGGTTGCACAGCAAGTCTTCACCGGTCCCTCCTCCTCAAAGAGGAATGAGAAGAGAGTGTGCTCTTAACAACTCTGTTTGCTTTTGTGGTCTCAGTTTATGAGGAGTTCCTGAAGACATCCTGGTGGATGTGTGCCAAAGCCTTTGACTAGAAGATAGGGGAGAATAGTTTTCATTTTCTTTTTTCCAAGTATGTGTGGTGTTCACTTATTAAAAACCACCTACTAAGTGACAGTAGGTGAATTTTAGGAAAACGACATGATTGGCTATACTTTAATCTACTTTAGTTTCTATTATAAAAGAAGGTTTTTGAGATAAAAATTACATACCACAAGGGTCATTCTTTGAAAGTGTTCCGTCATACCACAAGGGTCATTCTTTGAAAGTGTTCCGTTTGGTGGCTTTTAGCATATTCATAGAGTTGTTCACACTCCATTAAAAAATGTAGTGCTGGGGCCTCCCTGGTGGTGCAAGGGGTTAAGCACAGCACTGTGAAGCTATCCGCAGCATGAGTTCGATCCCCGACCAGCGAGCTGACCCACATGGTGCAGCAGACCTCTCCTGGCTCGCCCGCTGCTCCCCTCAGCAGTGTATTTCAGTCAGTCTGCCTGTTCTGCTCCCCGCTCTGTCTTTGGTGAATCCTCTTAGCCCCTGCACCTCTGGCCTGCACCCCAGTTCTTCTAGCATAAATACATCTTAAAAAAATACTGAAAAAATTAGTGCTGTTTTTATTTTTCATTTTGTTTATCTTTTAAAATTTTCTACTATAGAAAGTTTCATGCTTATGCAAAAGTTGGGAGACTCACAAAGGCAGCCCCTTGGTACTCGCCACCCGGCTTTGGCAGTTATGAAGACAGGTCTCATTGTTCACCTACAGCCTCCCTTCCACTGGGTGCTTTCAGATACAGAATTTCAAGTGCACATACAGCAATATTTCTCTTTAGTCCAATCCTGTTTAAGAAAATCAGCAGAATATCTCTATCAACCAAAATACATTAATAATTATTTAATATCATCAAATATCCAGGGAAATTTCCCTGATTGAGCTCTTTCTCTTCCTCCTTCCATCTGTTTTTTCCTAACTTTGTTTTCTGCTTTCATTTTCTTTTGATGAAATAAGTGGCTTGTTTGAATCAGTATCCAGGCAAATGCCATTTAATGTATTGGTTGATTTAGCTCTTAACTTTCTTTAACTTACAGACTTCTTTCCTTTTGTGTCCCTGGCAATTTATTTGTTGAAAAATTTGAGTTATTTGCCCTAGAGAATTTCCCTAAAGTTTTTGTTTTATTAATAGCAGCCCAAAGAAGAGGGAGAGTAGAATGTAGACTTCGGATAGTCCTGTGTTACCGGGTTCAAATCCTGGCTCTGCCTCTAACTTGCTACATGGCCCCAGGAAAACCACTCCCCTCCCTTGGCGGGCACAGCAGTGGCATGATGCTGAAGACTGAGTCAGAATATGGGAAGTGCATGTCACAGAGCAGGTGCTCAGGAAATGCCCCTTTTCTTTCCTTTATCCATCTTTATAATTTCATACTTACAGTATACTTTAGTTTATATTATACAATATTATTTTATATAATTATATAAACATTATTTTATATAATTATGTCAACATATATACTGTATGATTTATATATAATTATATATTATCGACATATATAATTTTATATATATATATTTATTTTCCTAGATTTATTTATTTACATATAACTATGTTACTTATTTGAAATTTTAC